GGGTACTAGATGGAGAAAATGCCTCTTGTTTATCTCCACCCGCTCTCTCCCTCATCAGATCTGGTTCCAGAATCAGCGAGCCAAGTGGCGGAAGCAAGAGAAGATGGGCAGCCTCGGGGCTCCGCAGCAGCTGGGCGACGCTGACCTGGCCCCCGCCACACATCTGGACATGGCTGTGAGTGGCTGAGGCACCAAGGGGATCTGAGGGACCCACTGTCTGAGAACATCTCATCCAGACCCAGAAGGGAGAAAACACCCCAGGGGAATATTTTTTAGAAAGAACCTGGGCAAGAATGTTCTGTAAGTCTGTGGGACCTGGGACAAATCGCTGCCTCTCTCTGTCCCCACGCCCTCACCCACTGAGTGACAATCACAGGTTTCTCCCTCCTCCCTGCACTCCTTGTGTAAAACTTCACAGTTCACAGAACAGGGTCATGGAGGACAGGGCGGTACACGGAGGTTGAACACGAGTCAGATGCCCAGGTTCGCAGCCCAGCTCTGCCCTGAGCAGCAGGGTAGCCTGGAAGAGTCACGGCGCCCCTCAGAGGACAGGGTGGTTTTGATGACGATGAAATGACTGAGATGTGAAGACCGCTTTGTACTTAGCAAGTGCTCCCTAGGTATTGGCTGTCCACTGAGTCAACACATTCGGAGTGTGTATCAGATGCTAAACTCGGGGCAGGAGCACTACATGGAGTAGACAGGCCTGTGGCTAAAGGCTTGTGCAGACCCATGGTGACGCTACCAGGCAGGATTTTTTATTTATCTTTTTTTTTTTTTTAGCTAATGCAGAAACTGGGCTCTGAGAAACAAAATGACTTTCCCATGTCAAGTAATTGTTGTAAATGGCGGGGTGAGGGCCAGGCTTTCTGGCCCCCAGCATGCGCTTCTCCCTGGCTTGGTCCCCTGCCCACCCTGAGCTGCCCAAGTCCCGCAGGGAGGGGTGGGATGCTGCGGGGCAGCCCAGGGTACCGCTGAGGACTCACTGCTCTCCTGACCTCTCCCGTGACAGGGCCCACAGCTGCCGCCCCCTGCACTGCCCAGGCTGGCTCCTCCTGCCGGGCGTTACCCACCGGCTCAAGGTCCGCTGGCCTCTGCCTGGTTTCCTGCCCGGATCACCCTCCTCCCACACTACCCATGGGAGACACAGCCTCTCCCAGGCCCTGTCATCCTGCAGACCTACGTCCCTGCCCTCGGCTTCCTTCCACCTCCACACCCCAAATGGGACAGCATCTGTGCCACTTCAACATAGGGACCAGATGGACATCCTGTCCCCAGCGGAGCCACTCTCCTCTCCGGGTGAAAACAAGTGGCAGGAAGGTGCCCAGGTGTCCGAGGGAGTCAATCTCCTGATCCAAAGACAGCCCACGTCCCAGGAAACCTCCCTGAGCCTGCCCCTCGGAAGGCTGCTCCAGACTCAGCAGCAAGGTGGCCGTCCCGGCTCAACGACGGCGGCTTTTCAGATCTCAGGGAGCGCTCTGGAATGAGGAGGTCATTCTCTTGCACCTGTGCTTCCTCTAAGTTGCTGTGTGACCTCCAGCCAGTCACTTATCCTCTCTGGACCTCATCTGTCACATGAAGCAGTTGGACAAGGTGACTTCTGAGGGCCTTCTGGTCCTTCCCTTGGTGAGGTGAACCATGGTGAGCCATAGAGGAGGCTAATGAGAGGTTGTTTGCTCTTCCATTCATGACACATTTATTGAGCACCTACTGAGTGCTCCATAAACAGAACTGAATATTGACATGAACAGCCAGGGCTTTGCCCCTGTGAGCTCAGTCCAGGTCGGTAGAAGGGACAGTGCTGACCTTCCCCTGCAGGTACAGCATTCACCGGTGACCAGCCCATGTATAAGACATTTTGTGTGGCTTTGACGTAAATGTCTTAAGGAGAGAGAACTATGGGGGGGGGGGATTTAAACAGAACTTAGTGTCTTTGGTTATTCTGTTGAATTGGGGAGGGATGTTGTCATTTCTGGGCTGAATGAAGAGCAATGCAGCAAACTCTTTGCAGAGTTTCTTTCCAGGGACTTGTGCAAGGGGCCCAGCTGCAAGTCCAGCCTCACCCTGTCCTGAAAAGCTAGGGTTTCATTGGACTCTGCTGTTTCCTTGCAGCGTGACCTTGGGCAAACCACATGCCCTGTCTGGGCCTCAGTTTTGACATCTGCAAAATGGCCTGCCCACTGGCCTGCCTCAAAAGGAGCTCGCAGAGGCTCTGAAAGGAAGTGACAGTGTTTTGCAAAGTGTGAGGGCAGGACCCATTGTGGAGTGATGTTGTCCCGTATCCCACCAGGAAAGTGGCTACTGTGGATTCCAGCCCTGGGATAAATCACAAGGGAAGCCCTGGGATAAATCAGTCTGGGAAGCCGTCCACTGAGTCTCCCTTCTGCATGAATATTGCTGAGACTTGCCCTGCTGGGCAAGGTCAGCACCTGCTCCTCTGAGCTGGGCAGGCTGGCCTGACTTCCATGTGCAATCCCAGAAATTCTAGGATTCTGCCCCAAGTCCCAGCATCTCTGCAATCAGCCTGGATCCCTGACCCACCCAGGAGCTGGACTGGGAGTCAGGAAGCCTGGGTTTTAGTCCTGCACTCTCTCTAATTTGCTGTATAACGTTGCCATCAATCTCTCTGGGCCTCAGCTTTCTCATCTGTAAATTGGGGCAGCAAGGCTAGCTCTGCCTTCAGGCGTACAATGGGCCAGAACCACAGAGTACCTCCCATGATGTAAATGAACTTTGCAAACGTAGACGTGCAAATCACCCAGAGCCTGAGTATTATTACTGACGCCTCACCCCCAGCAAACTCTGGATAGAAGGAGAAGGCTAAGGGCTGGGGGAGCAAGAGTTGATTAACGAACAAAGACGGGCAGCTGCCAACTTACTGACTCGGGTAGCAGGTACCCATTTCATGGCCTTGAACTCGTAATTTGTAAAATGTAAAATGCAACTGCAAAATGTCATTTTTATCATCTTGCTATAACTGAATTTACTTTCTATGTTGTTGGCAGAAAATTTATTCTAGTAACTTCTATATTACCGATTCCTCAGACATTCCGGTTTAAACTCAGTCACATTTGAGATGTCCCCCTCTGTTCCCCTCCTCCTTGCAGGGGTCTTTGCTAGGTTGAGGGTGCGGTTGGAAAGTGTTTATACAAATACCACTGCGGTCTCTTGAGGGAGGGGATGTACACGTCCAAGCCTCTGTCTTTGTCAGCCACTGCTGGCATCCACTGAGCGTGTCTCGGGAGGCCTGGCCTTGGGTGTGACCTCTCCGCCCACATCAGCCAGTCCCCTATTGGGGTTCACTCCGAATCCTCTCCTGAAGCCCCCCACCCCAGTTGTAAAGCCCCCGCCCCATCCCACATCCTCTCTCTGTCTTCTAGTTCGTCTCTCATGAACAGGGTAAAAGCTGACAGCTCCCCCACACCCTCGGGGGCCATGGAAGCCCTAGACCAGGCAGCAGGCTCTCTTTTGAGACCTCTCGCAGCCATTTCTGATGCCCCGGTTATAGGTAGGTCATGGATGAGATTGCAGATCTGCAGACTTCCCAGTGGGATGGAGAGGCACGGGGCCGCTCTGCTCAGGGTCCCTGTATTAGTCTGTGTTCAGAGAGAGAGAGAGTATAAGGAATTGGCTGTCATGATTTATGGAGGCTGAGAGGTCCCATGGCCTGCAGTCATCAAGCTGGAGAACCAGGAGAGTACAGGCTCCAATCTGAGTCCAATGTCAGGAGACCGATGCCCCAGTTCAGACAGTCAGGCAGAGAGAGCAGGTTCCCCCTCCTCTCCACTTCTGTCCAGACCTCATGTTCAGCCATATGGGGAGGGCAGTCTGCTTTACTCAGTCTACCAGTTCAAATGTTAATCCAGGAACATCCTAGAACATGTATCCATATGAATATTTAACCACTTTTCTGGGTACCATGGGACCCAGTCAAGTTGACATGTAACATTGACCATCACAGTCCCCATCTCCTGTCCCAGTCACATGCCCTCCTTCCCCCAGAATCCTCTGGAGACAGGGTTGGGCCGACCATAAGAGATTCTGTGACCAGAGTGTTACCTCTGCTTCAGTACAGATGTAAACAGTTGATTTGGGGGCCTCCTCTTCCTCTCTAGGGAGGGGTTTGCTTTGTCCCCTCAGGAACTATTTTACTACCTTTACCTTGCTCTTTGCTCCCCCATGGGGAGCAAAGGAGTCACTTTAGAATTCATGCTAGCTGTGTGACCTTGGGCAAGTAACATGTCCCCTCTGTGTACATGCTCTCTTCATAGCAACAGTTTCTTGTGTCTTAGGGTTTCTGTGACAATTAAATGAGCAAGTCCATTTTGACCCATAGTTAGCACTCAACAAGAGTTAAGAAAAAAGACATTTTCCCAATCTTCCTTCTACTCCTTTCTACTTCTGAACTTGAGCAGCTATTCTGATCCTAGACTCCACCGCAGGACGTCTTAAACCAGTCTTCAGGAGACAAGGAACTCCAAAGAGTATGCAAAGAGGGGTGTGTGTGTGTGTGTGTGTGTGTGTGTGTGTGTGTGTGTGTGTTTCCCAGGGAAAGGGTTCATCGCTTTCATCAGCTTTTCAAAGAGCTCTGCAGCTAAAAATAATCATAATAAAAGATCCTTGTCACACACACCTGAGTCAACTCCTGACAGGTTCATATTCTAGCTGTCTGGACCAGAGACTTGAGATCATTTTTTCTAAAAAAAAAAAAGATAAAATCATACAAACATAAAACGAACAAGTGCCAAAATTTTAACTCACTAATTAATGAGGGAACCAGTAAGGCATCATAACAGTTCTGAGGAGAATTGGAAGAACAGATATATATCTAGGCAACCAGAAATGCTGTCATGAATTACAAATAGACAAAAAGGTCCCCGGCCATAGGGAAACAATTGCATCTCCATCAGACACAACTCATTTGCATTTCTATGAACAAGAAATCATTTGTATTGTTACCAGTTCTGCAATTTAAAGAGTTGAAAAACAGACAATGTCTGTTCATTTCAAAGACAATGAAAGGTGCAGAAATCCTGGAGGAGTGGGCAAATCTTTGTATGCCTTTTCCAATCTTTTCACAATTTCCCCCCCATCTAAATTTACTAATCTTCCTGAAGCTTACCTTCCTCATCCATTAAATGGGGATAACAAGACCTGCCTCAGAAGTTAGCTGTGAGGTGACATTAGATGATGCAGGTAAGGTGTTTTGTATTTGTCCAACACTATGAATTTAGGAAATCATTATTTACTGACTTTCAAACTCCTCTAGAACTCAAGTTAAATGGTTTTTACCTAGAATGTGTTTAGACATACAGTAACATTTCTTTAATATTCATTGATTTTTGATAGTTCAATTGTTAAGAAGGCTACAAGCCATAGAGAATGGGCAAAGAGCAGAAATAAGACATTCACAGGAAAAACATACAAATGGATACTGAACATATGAACATATTCTCAACCCCATTCATAATTTTAACATGTCAATAAAACGGCATGAAATACTTTTTTTTAATTTACCTTTCAGACTGGCAAATATGTAAAAGTGTTGCTGAAGGAGTTGATGAAATAGTCACTCTCATAATAAGGAAGTACGAATTAGTACTTCCTTTTGGAAGGTAACTCGACAACTATTAATATTCTAAATGCAAATCTCTTTGACCCAGTCGTTGTATTTGCAAGAACTTATCTGATAAACACGCATGTATATAAATGCTGCATATAAGAATGTCCACCAAGGCTTTATGATAGCACAAACTGGAAACCACCTCAAGAGGACACTGCTCGAATCAATTATAGTGTATTTGTCCAGCTGTTTAAAATACTGAGAGAGACTGAAATGTACTTCAAGGAAAACTGTCATTAGATATGTCATTAAGCGGAAAGAGTAAGTGGCAGAACAGTATTATAGTCCCATTTGAGTGAGAAAAGGGTAAAGATATTCTTATATGTAAAAACATCATCTGTACGCTGACAGTTTCAGCATATTAGCTTTTGCTCCATAACAAGTTACTCCAAAACTTAGTTGCTTGACACAGTGATTATTGGACTCATGACTCTGGCTTGACCAGGTTCTTCATCTGGTCTGGGATGACATGGCTGCTCTCAGCAGGGCTTGTGAATGTGTGTGTCAGTTGATGGCCCCTTGTGATCAGGAATGGCTTCATTCACAAGACAGGTCTGGGTTTGTCAGGCTGTTAGCTGAGGTTACAGGGTCACTATGTAACCAAACCCAGGTTCAGCTGCCTGATGCAA